TGTGTGTGTGTGTGTGTGTGTGTGTGTGTGTGTGTGTGTGTGTGTGTTTGCATTTGGATTAAAAGGAGCAACCATCTATTTCTGCCCCCAGGAAATGTGTCTTATCATAGAAAAGAGACACTGCCTTATGGTGATAGGATAGAGAAAGGTATTCCAACCAAATGGACCTAAGAAACAAGCCCAGGCTGGCCTCATACTGGCTATGTAGCTAACAGTGACCTCCTGATCCTCTTGCCTTTAAGTCTGGGATTACAGGCTTACGTCACTGCATGTGGGTGTGAGAGTGGTGGCTTTCTAAATCACACACCACTATCTATAATACTATGTCCTGCTTCTCTATCCAATGAGCACCATCATCAAGAACAGCCGAGCTAACACCAAGTCTTGGGTCTCTGTGGAAAAACATTGAAACAGATGGCTATAAGCTATTGTAAACAGGCAGCTTTTGTGGAAATTTATCAGCCTGAGTAGTCATAGAGCTTGTAAATAGGTAGCCTTGGCAGACAATACCAACTTAGATAAGGACAAGTGAATCATAAGCAGAGTCATAGCGACCTGTCCCCTGAACCTTCACCCAGCCAATACCCTGATCTGAAAGATATCTGTACTCCCCCTGAACACCCACGCTCCAGTGTCATCCCCTTCCCCACGTCCTGCCTTTTTGTGTTTATAACCCCTGTGTAAATAAGTAAAAATTATGATTTGAAAAAGTAATTAATTAATTTAAAAAAAAGAGCCCAGTGTGATGGCTCTGTGAAGGCACACGCGCTGACAGACATGAGAACTCTCCTTCCTCCCATGCATGTAGTGTTCACATGGCTGTGAACCATAACTGAGGAGCCGTGTAGTGCATGTGGTCACACCCACACCCTGGGTACCCTCTGCTCCACTTTTTATGGGGTCTCCTGCTTGGGGAGTTGGTGTCAACTCCTCAGGTTCTCCTTTTCCCCTCAGTGTCATTTCTTTCCTCTTTAGGAGTTAATTTTCTCCTCTTCTCAATTTGACAGCTGAAGAATAATTGAATGTTACACGGGTCTTACATATATACTGAGAGCTCCAAGGCTGTTTATGAACAGGTTGTTAAAGTTCTCCAAAGATACTCAATAGGCAGAGGCAGGTAGATCACTGTGAGTTTGGCACCAGCCTGATCTACATAGCAAGTTCCACGCCATCCAAGGCTGCATAGTGAGACTCTGCCTTGAAACTAATTAATTAACTAATTAATTGATTCTCCCAAAATAGACTCAACTGCTGGTTGATCTCCAGCCAGACATCTCAGCATAAACCTAGGCAGGCAGAGAGAGGGGGATATGGAGTTGATGGTCAAAGCTTTGGCAGTTTCTTTTAGCAATTTCTATCTTCTTTAACTCTTTGCTATTCTGTGGCCAAGAGCAGTTGGCTTCTGGCAGTTAACTTCTGATAGCAGCAGGGGATTTAAAAAAGAAATTTAGTTACTTGAGCTCTTTTCTCCCTGGCTCAAGGGCCCCTGGCTGATCAGGAAAGAAGCTCAGAGTTCATTAACTCTTCATGAACCAGAGAGGAAAGAAAGGAAGAAAGTCAGACATACACAGAGATACACACACACATTTTGGCTGGCCCTGACCACCTATCTCATCAGTTCTACAAGTATTCATGCATAGTTACATATATACACATATACCTAAACATGTATGTGTGTATGTATGTATGTACATGCATATAGACAGACAGACATATACAAAAAGCTACATTGTATTTTTTTTCTATGGCAATTTATATCTTCTAAACAAAAATTATCTCATAGATAAAATGTTACAAAATGAGAGTTACAGAAGGATGTTGATAGTAAGTTCAAAGTAATGTTTCATTCTATAAGCTCATGATAAGTTCAAAGCAACGGTTGCATACTTGTGACCTCATCCTTGGATCTGATTTAGAATGAATGTTTTTTCCTTGATCACAAATCTATCCCAAGCCTGTTTCTCTTCTTAGTACAGTCTATGGAAGCTCATAATATTCCTTATTATGCAGCCTTTATTTACTATCCTATGAGGAGGGAGCACATTCTGTTCTCGATTCTAACTTCATTACATCTTTTTGGCAAAACAACTAAGACCATCTTCTTAAACTTTTTTCCTAAAATCATATGAATCAAATCAGGAAATTATCAATTAATCTAAACAACATTAATTCATGAAAGTTTGTCTTCATGTTGATCGTCAGGAAATTTGCCCAATAAGGTGGGCTATGCCCAGGAATCATTAGGCTATGTAATAGTGGCAGGAAAGGCCTATTAGCAGTGAGAAGCAATCCTGGGATGAAGTCTCTGGGGCTGTGCCTCTCCAGAGTGCACCCATCACAGCTGTGTGAAACAGTGGGCCGTCTCCAGGAAGCCCGCTTGCTTGCCATAGCCTTTTCCTAGATGGCTTCTGTGACCTAACCCTTGATAAATTAAACTTGAATCTTTGCAACTGCATCCCAGCTTACTTCTCGGTCCGCAGTTCCCACTTCCTGGGCCCCCCTTTTCATCTGCAGTATACCTGAGGTTTTCCTCTGTTGGACTCGGATTCAGTTCATTTGAGACTATTAAATCAGCTCCTACTTGTGTATCTTCCAGTCTGTTCGTACTTGCTTCTGAGAATTCCATATTGGTAAAAACAAAGTCCATCCAAGAACGTTCCCTGTGAACAACATTCTTGAGTCACTTTTCTCTCAAAGCTGTGTGCATTCTGTTTCCCAGCTTATAAATGTCTACTTCACTGTCATCCAAATCCTGTCCTATCTCCAGGACACAATTACACTTCTTCTATGAAACTTTTTGATGTTTATATTAAGCTTATTTTCACTATTTTTTATTTCTTATTCATAAATAGTTTATTGGTTAAATTTCTTTATTTTTACAGAGTCTCATGCAACCCAGGCAGCTTCAAACTAGACATGTAGCTGAGGCTAGTCTTGAACTCCTGACCTCCTGTCTCTACCTCCCAAATGACACAACTAAAATATTTGCATCCCACTCTTATTTCCTCAGTTAGAGCTACTAGAAGAGGGAGGGGGTCCGAGAGGAGGTGAATATGCTCAGAGTACCCTGTATAAAATTCTTAAAGATTTAATAAAAATATTATTTTTTTTAGAAGCTACTGGAGGACAGAGCCTGTATTGTAGACCTCAGCCAAGCACAGCAGCAGTGTTGGTTACGAGTGACTCCAGGGCACGGGGGAAATACCTCAGTTTTAGCTTCTAGGCCCTGGACTTGGTCCTCAGCATAGAAGTTTAACAAAGAAGAGTTAGTTACTTTGCTTGTTGTCAGGACTGAATACCTCACAGGAAGCAGCCTTCTGCAGGAGAATTTTATCTGGACTCACAGTTTCAGGGGATACGGCTCATCACCAACATGGTGGAAGGACAGCAGCGGTGTGTGATGATCACCATCACGGTGGAAGGACAGCGGCGGTTTGTGACAGGCACTGCCTGCTCACTTCTTAGCAGACCAGGAAACAAAGCCAGGGCAGGAAGCCAGTCCAACTGAGGTCGGGTCTAAGCTGTAAACCTCAGGGCTCACACTTCCTCTAGTTCAGTGGTTCTGAACCTTCCTAACGCTGCAACCCTTTAATATGCTGTGGTGACCCCCCAACCATAATATTACTCTCATTGCTAGTTCATAACTATAATCTTTTAGTGTTATGAATCATATGTAGATATCGGTGTCTTCTGATTGTCTTGGGCAACCCATGTGAAAGGGTTGTTTGACTCCCAGAGGGGTCCCAACTCACAAGCAGAGAACCTTGGGCCTAGCCAGTCCTCACCTCCCAAAGGCTCCACGTCCTTCCCCAAACCGTACTACCTGCTGGACCAAGTGCTGAAACACAGCCTGTTGGGGACATTTTACCTCCAAACTGACCAGCCAGGTATGTAATCTTGACACTCAAGTACCCGAGGCAGAAGGATCGTGACTGTGAGGCAGCCCTGAGCTAGCCCACCCCAAGGTTAGCTTTACGTGTCTGCTCTTTAAAATTGGTTTCCTGATTCTTGCTTTCAAAGATGTTACCAAATCTAAAGAGGGTCGTTGTAAACAGTTTTAATCACTGAGCAGAAAGTCAAGGGCAGGCAGAAAAGAAGGAAGAGCTTTTACTGCAAAATATTCTCTCTCTCTCTCTCTCTCTCTCTCTCTCTCTCTCTCTCTCTCTCTCTCTCT